CATGAAGGTGGAGACCTCCGGGCACGCCCGTAGGCACTGCAGCTTGCTGAACTGGTTGGCGATAACTGGATAAGAAAAGATTTTCAGTTTAGAATTCATAACAGACACAAGGTGGCATGCTGACCTCGGCGATTATGTGCTTCCAAAGTTCCAATGGATCGGAAATTAGTAGTGCTATTGAGCAGCTAGAGCAGAATCCAGAATCTAGATACAGCCAGTATGGATGCATAGGGAGGGAGGGGGGCACAGGTCAGACCCAGAAAGAGAGATGAATTGGTACGAACCGAATTGCCGCCATGAGCGTGAGACGGCGGATGCGCGGGCGAGGTCGGCAGGGTCGTCGAGCATGCTGAAGACGGTGGAGGACGCGCGGGCCAGGTCGGCTGGGTGGTCGAGCATGGTGAAGCCGGTGGCTGAGGTGCCGACGAGGCCAGCCGCAGACGAGGACGAGCAGGAGGAATCCTTCACCCCCTCTCGCCGCCCCAATGAACCCTAGACAAAAATAGAGAGTAGTATTCAAAGTCAACCATGCTTGGAATTCATGTATGGTTTATCTCTTGCACTGTGCATAACCATGGCAAGCTCTTCTTTTAAAATTTTCCCTGCATCTGCGTCTGGCTGGATTTCTTGTGCCCCAAATGGCCCAGCACAACTGATCAGAATATCCAGCCACCTCAATGAACAAACACCAAACATTAATATGTGATTTTTGTTGAGTAACGTGATTGTATAGGAAACATAGGTTAGACTAGGAAATATTTTGGCTTACCTTGTACTCCAAGTAGATCATTGTACTCCTATATATATGCCCACGAGGCTCAAGCAATACAACAAATTATTCCACCAATCCTCCTCTCTCCCTCTCAACATGGTATCTATCGCAAGTCGATCCTAAACCCTAGCCGCCGCCGCTTCCGCACCTGCGCGCCGCCCCCGGGGCGGTCGGCCTCCATGACCGCCGCCGGGGGCCGCGCCTCCCGTACCTAGGGTTCGTCCGCCGGCCGTGTTGGCCGGCTGCCCTAGAGAGTCTTTTTTTTCCCGATCCTTTGATCTGGGTTTTCTCTCTCTCGCCGGTCGCTTTGATCGGCGTCTACTTTTTGGTTTTCCGGTTTTTGTGATCCGGTTTGCGTCACCCACCGCCACCGTCGACCCCGTGCGCCTCTACTCCGACTTCGGCGTCGACTACACCGGCGTCTTCACCGACCCGGCGGCCTCGCGCGTCGTCCGCGCGTCTGCCCGCCGGTCGCCCCGACCCGGCGGCCTCGCGTCATGCGGCGGCCCTTCACCGCCGCCGTTCGCGTGCCGGCCCGCTCATCGATCTACGCCGGCCGTCACCGCCCTGCTCCGACCGGGACTCCTGCATCACCCCGACTCGGCGGCCTCGCGTCATGCGGCGGCCAATCATAGCCGCTCTGCCGCCCGCCGCCGCCGGCTTCATCTCGGACTCCGCCGCCACCACGCCTTCACCGAGCGGTGTCCCCGACCTTGCGCGCGATCGGCTTGATCACCCGCTCGCCGCCGCTATCAGCCTCATCTACGCCGCACGACCGACCTGGCCCGTCGGTTACGCGCGCCTTCGCAGGTCCCGTGAAGATCGTCTCCGAGTTCAGCGCGCCCCTCCGTCGATCGAGCAACGGGCTGCCGCTGCGTCGCCCCGTCGGGCCGCAGCGCCGCCGCCCAGTGGTTCTCCTCCCGGCTGCACCGACCCGCGTCATCGCTGCGTTGCCCCTTCGGGACGTAGTGCCGCGGCCCGCGGTCTACCGCCGCCCCGAGGTCGTCCACTCCAGGCCGTCCCCGTGGCTGCACCGACCCTCGCGCCGCCGCTGCGTCGCCCCGTCGGGCCGTAGCGAGCGTGGCACGCGGTCCACGCTGCCGTCCCGAGGCCGTCCCCGCAATTGCACCGACTCGCGAACCGCCGTTGCGTCGCCCCTTCGGGCCGCAGCGTTGCGGCCCGCGGTCCCCGCCGCCACCCCGAGGTCTTCCCGCCGTCGCCCCGACCCGCCTGCCGCCGCTGCGTTCCCCCTTTTGGGCCGTAGCTCCGCGGCCCGCGGTCCACTCCGCCGTCACCGCGCGTCGACCTCCCGTGGTATGCGTCGCGCCGTCTCCCTTGGCGCGGGAACGCCACCGTCCACGCCGGTCTTCGTCATGCTGTCAGGGTTCTTCGCCTACGTCGAGCACCGCCGCCGCACTCCTAACCTAGCCGCCGCCGCCGCCTTCAGGCCGCCGCTGCCGCTCTTCTTTGGCCGCCGCCGCCGCTACCTTTGTAGCCGCCGCCGCCTCCCGTCCACCCCCTTCGTCTTCGTCCAGCACCAGTTCGTCGCCAGCGTCGCCGTCATCTACCCCGACCGCTTCATCTACTCCGACAACCGCGGGCGACATTGGCCCCCCGCCGATTGGCGCCGCAACCGTCGTCGAGTCCTTCTCTGCTGGCCTCTCCGACTTCTCCGACATGGTGTACAGCTCGTGCAGGTCCCTCGTCTACGCATGCCCGATGCTGGCAACACCGCCGCGTGCCTTCGTCCACGACGTGTCCCCGGGCCTGGCAAGCCTGGCGCGGCGCTTCGTCAACTTCGTCTTCGTCCGTCTACGCATGCCCGGTGCTGGCAACAGCGGTGCGTGCCTTCGTCCACGATGTGTCCCCGGGCTTGGCAAACCCGCCGCGACGCGTCGTCAACATCATCTACTTCCTGGCGCACCACTACTTCGACACCACTGCGCCCATGCTAACTCGGCGCCCCCCTTGCGCCCGCGGCTCCACGGCGACTTCCTCGACACCGGCTACCCCGACTCGACATCGACCACGGCATTCTTCGCACGGCTACCTCGACCACGGCTCCACCACCCACGCTCTCGGCTACATCGACAAACGGCACAAAGGGCTACCGCCTGCTTGAGCAACCTCGTTGGTTTCCACTCCAGCCACAACTCCGCGATGCATCGACCGTTACGACTGTGGGGGGTGTCCGTCGGCTTGCCTTCGGATTCTTCTCCAGTCTCACCGTCTGCATCGCTACCGTTGTGACTGCGGGGGGATGTTGAGTAACGTGATTGTATAGGAAACATAGGTTAGACTAGGATATATTCTGGCTTGCCTTGTACTCCAAGTAGATCATTGTACTCCTATATATATGCCCACGAGGCTCAAGCAATACAACAAACTATTCCACCAATCCTCCTCTCTCCCTTCCAACAATTTTGTGCATCGATAGATTGATGGCCAGGAGTGCAGTCTCCTTTTTCGGTGGAAAAATGAAAATCTTATCGCCAATGGACTTGCACATAAATTAAGGTCTGGCATAGGTGTGATGATTTAGATGTGCCATAAAAGAACTATGTTTGAACAAGTCTTGGGATGCCGACACCGGTATAGACAGCAGCCCTTCGACAACCGATGGGGCAAGCTGCTCATTAAGAAAAAACATTTAGTTCCGGACTTGACTTAGCCGCTGCCCTCTTGGATCGTATTGTCTAGATTAGGGTGCATATGCTATGGTTTGGGTAGGACTAAAATACACTACCCATTGTTAAATTAGGGTATCATGTACAGCTCACCTCTTGTAGATGGGCTTAAACTAAAACAGGGATGAGCTGGGTGACAGAAGTGCTGGCACTTAATTAAGTGCAGCATCTTAACTACTGGCGCTATCAGTGGTTACATGCACAGAGGTCATGTTCATACTGGAGGTGAATTAGCTAGGATGCCATTTCACAGCTAAATTACTTCTGTAAATAACAAAAGACATAATAAGGATATAGTGGGAGAGTATATAATCTGCCCTTTAGGTCCGAATGTCCGATCCATGCAAAAGGTAGACTATTTTTGACAACGTTGCAACAAAAATATGCATTGACAATATCATGTCCTAAAGTGTCAAATCCAAATTCACACTTTAAGAAATAAAGATACAAAATTATGTGGTGGAAAGTAGTTTGGTGCAAGTAGATTCTGAATTAGGTACAATTCTATTTCATTGGCATTCCTCTTTTTGTTTCATGACACATGCATTAGCTGAAAGTTGAAGGTATACTTGATCTTTGGAAATACTTGTCAGAGAAACGGGAGTATATGAACCTTGTGTGAATGTTTCTAAGAGGGAATGCTTATCTCTCCAGATTGTTTAACAGGAAGCCAGTGCCTGATTGCCAGGTTGACCAGAAGGAAGCTTCGCTTGTCGTTCAAAGTGGTGCCATGAACGCATTGATAGTGTCTAAGCTGACAAGATACGCAATGAAATTGAAGACTGTACGTCTCAACTTGCACAAGTTTACGTTGTTAACTGGCATTAGCTCACAATATATGTACAGCCTGTCAGCATCTTCAAGAGGGAGAAAACCGACGACTTGTCTATATGTAGTTAAGTAGTGCAATAATGGTTAATTTGTTTTGAAGACCATGTCATCTAACCTGCATGAAGGGTTGGGTAGCAAACCGTGTTTGATGAAACCACATATGTATGCTGAGTTAGAATGAGAGAGAAATATGCCTACATAAATTTTTGTTACAGTTTTTAATTGTAATATGCCTACAGAAGATTTAAAGGATAAGAATTTTGCAAAACAAATGTAGTGATACTTCTTCCATGGTCAGTATATGTAAAGACAATGGGGTACTAGTTGTCTAATTTCTGAAATGGGTAGATTTGTTGAATTAAGACAACCATTAAGCCTTGATAGACACCAGGTATATGCATGTAGTACCATGTGCACTTGACATAGTCAAAGCCTGGATCCACACTATCAGTTAAACCAATGCATGTTATACCATGTGCATTTGGCACATGCTTTAGACCTCCTATAAAAAAGAGAAAAGTGGACAAAATATATGATAAGAACTGTTTGATTTAAAGAAAGGAGCAAAGTTACAATACAAGAGAAGTTTCTTTGATCTCAGGTTCATTTAGAAACAACTATAAAGACGAGCGTGTGAGGACATAGCTCCCCCCACCACAAGCAAAGCATTATTGTGCACAAGACCAGACAACCAGCTGCTGGGAGCGACCATGGACCTTGCAACGGGGGCCATGGGTAGCCTGCTCCTCAAGCTTAGTGAGCTCCTCACGGAGGAGTACAAGCTGCAGACCGGCGTCAAGGAAGATGTTGAGTATCTCAAGAGAAAGCTGACAAGCATGTATGCTGCCCTCCGCAAGGTGGGGGGCGTGCCACGAGACCAGCTCGTTGAGCAGGTCAAGCTCTGGGCTAACGAAGTCAGGGACTTATCATTCATAATGGAGGACATCGTCGACAAGTTCCTCGTGCGCGTCGAGGGAGCTGAGCCTGCCATCAAGCCACAAAAACTGAAGAAGCTAATGAAGAAGATGGGAAACTTGTTCAGCAAGAGCAAGACTCGCCATGAGATCTCCGATGAGATCAAAGACATCAAGGTCCGCGTCAAGGAGGCGGCTGCCCGACGTGATAGGTACCGGGTCAACGACGTGGTTGTTAATCCAGTTGGCACAGTCACTGTTGACCCTCGCCTATTGGCTTTGTACAAGGACCAGAAAGAGCTCGTTGGTATTGACGATTCATTGAACAAGCTAACCAAGATGATGAGGGATGGGGATGGTGATCCATCCAAGAAACTTAAGATACTCTCTATTTTCGGATTCGGAGGCCTTGGCAAGACAACTCTTGCCAAAGTATTGTATGATAAGTTTGAAGCACAGTTTGATTGCAGTGCTTTCGTTCCAGTAGGACGGAACCCTAGCGTGAAGAAACTTCTGAATGACATTATCTATGGAATTCACAAGAAAAAGTACCCAGGGTTGGATGAAAAGCAGCTGATTGACAAACTCCGAGAATTACTTGAGAACAAGAGGTATGCACCCTATTATGTTGTTCCATATACTTCAAGTCGTAAATAGGAGTTTGCATGAAAGTCAGCCAATCGTTGAACTCTAAGAACAAGAGGTATGCAATAAATCAAATAGTAAATGAGGGGAAATAGCGTCAACCCTGAGAAGAAATAAGTTAGAGATGAGTGAATTTTTTTGTTTGAGACATATTACAAGAGAAGGGTCTGGATGATCTATCATCACTGTTGTGTATTTCGCAAAAAAAAGTGTGCTTTTGTGGATAATAATGTATAATATCAAGTTTCTCTACCTTCTTTGTTATAATTTGGCTTGGCACATACCGTTGAATCTTCATCGGTGTACATATACTCTAGAACTTCTTACAATTGATGTCAATAAGAAAATATCTGTATTAGCTCAAAGTATCTAGATTGGGAAATTTTGTTAATCAAACCTAGAATTCTCGGCGATGAAATAGAATTAAAATGCATACATGTCTCTCTCCTGGACACCTGCATTACCGATTCAACAATCCGAACTTTAGATTCCTCAACAAGTAGGCTGACATGCATGCATACTCATTTTATAGATATTTTGAATACTTAGGGGCCCTATAATATATTTTTTCACTAATTTGTGATATCTCTTGCGCTATGGATGGTGATGACAGGTACTTGATTGTTATTGATGACATATGGGATAAAAGAACATGGGAACTAGTCAAGACCGCTTTGGTGTGTAATAATAATGGAAGCAGGATAATCACAACTACTCGTATACTCAAAGTTGCCACAACGACCAGTGAAGTATACAAGCTACAACCACTGTCTCCTTGTTTATCCAAGGAGTTATTTCATAGAAGATTATCTTGTGATGAAATAGAATGGCCTAATCATCTGCCTACAGAGGTATACGATAAAATTTTACATAAATGTGGTGGTGTACCATTGGCTATAATCACAATAGCTAGTTTGCTCGTAGGTAAACCTACGGAGGTTTGGTCTAAGGTATACACTTCAATTGGTTTCGGGCATGAAGAAAACGAACACGTGGAGAACACGAGACAAATACTTTTATTTAGCTATTATGATCTACCTTGTCACCTAAAGACTTTCTTATTGTATCTGAGCATATACCCCGAAGATCATCTGATTGAAAAAGATAGTTTGATATGAAAGTGGGTCGCCGAAGGTTTTATCCATGAGGAACCAGGGGTAGGACTATTCGAGATTGGTGAGAGGTACTTCAACGAGTTGGTGAACAAAAGCATGATAATGCCGGTAGAGGGGTCCCTGTATCTTGGCATCAAAAGGCATGTTGGCATCATAACTGGATGCCGCATCCATGACATGATTTTGGATATGATATGCCTATTGTCAAATGAACAAAATTTTGTTACAGTATTAGATAATAACAAGGAATATACAACTTCACATTGCAATGCTCATAGGCTAGCAGTTCATCATAGAGTCCAACCCGAGGCTAGCACATCCACATCACGAGCAAGGTCACTTAGTGCCATGTGCAATGCTGAGATGTTGCCATCACTTTCATGCTTTGAAGTTTTGCGTGTCCTAGCTTTAGAAGGCCCCACTAATTCGTGCAACCCTGACCATCTTAAGCATGTTGGAAAGTTAGTTCACTTGAGGCACCTAAAACTAGCAAGCATGGGCATCTGTGAGGTCCCAAAGGAAATAGGATATCTAAAGTTCTTGGTGGTATTGGACCTGGGTCGAAATAGCATAAGTGAACTTCCAGACAGTATTGGTCGACTAAGTAAACTCAAGTGCTTGAACATCTGCGAAACAGACATTAAAGTGCCATATTGGATCATGAATATGACTTCTCTAGAAGAGCTATGTCTATATAAAGTTGATGAGCAATCGAACTTTGTGACAGAGTTGGGCAAGTTGATAGAGTTGAGAAAGCTCCGCATTTCTAACACTTTAGAACTATGGAGTGACAGCGCAAGGAATGCTTGGGCGGAGTCTATAGCTAAAGATCCAAGTCATTGACATTAATGTTGTTGGTTCGTTTAGAGTTCCTGGCGATGAGAGCCCCTGGAAACGGTATGCCCTCTCTCCACAACTCCGTGTTCTACACATGGCCTATGGAGAACCTGGGCTAGTTGCAAGTATCAATCCACGGCTTCTTCCAAACCTCTCCCATTTGGAACTATTTGTATACACTTCGGAACTGGAGGTCTTTGGAAGTTTCCAAGAGCTTGTTACCCTAAAGCTATGCACGTGGTCAGCTCTTCCACCATGACACCATGGGCGGTGCAGGTGCCTTCCCCAAGCTGAGGGTATTGAAGACAGAAGCAACGATTGGCTCGTTTCTAGAGGGTGATATGCCCATCCTTGAATCTCTCCAGTTCCGCGTGGTTGCGCAGTCCAATGATGACGGCATCACATTTGACTTTGACTTTGATAGCCTAAGGAACCTCCCTTTGCTTCAGTCTGTCAGAGTCTTTTTATTTGCCCATCCCGCGGACCACAAGAAGGCTGAGGAAATGGTGAGGCGTGCAATTGATATGCTTCCCAACCGTCCCAGCCCTCGCATCCATTCATATGATATAATAATAAATAGGAGGTAAATATGTGTATATGTTACTCCCTCCGTCTCAGTTTACAAGTCCTACGCGTATACCTATGTTGCCAATTTGACCACCCTAATATAAACTATATAACACAAAAATTATATCTTCTGGAAATAGAATATCTGAAGTTTATATTGGTATATTTTTTGTAATATATTACCACTAGTAGAAAAAGAGGCTTCCGTCCAGCCCCATTAGTCGCGAAACTGTAGGAACCGCGACTAATGAAGTCTTTAGTCGCGGTTCGGCAGATGAACCGCGACCAAATGCCTGGGCCCAGGGCGCTCGCGGGCTTTAGTCGCGGTT